CCCAGGCAAAACAGGATGAGCTGGTCACGCTGCATAGACTGCAAACCTTATGTTCATTTTAATGATAAAATATGAGAATGAAAGGAATTTCCTGCTTACAACCCGTGAGAGGTGCCCCAGCGGGAAAGTTTAAGGAGCACTGACCTAAAAGTCCAACAAGAGGAGGTAGTTAAATTCATTCATTCATTCGTTTGTTCATTCATTCATTCCCCACTAGAACATAAGCTCTATAAGGGCAAGCGTTTTGTCTGTTTTATTCACCACTGTGCTCTCGGGACCTAGGACTATGCCTGGCACACGCTCCATAAATGTTTGTTGAGGGGAGCCGTGTGCTAGGTGTCGGTGTACATTAGATCCTACTGTCCCAGTTTAAAATGCTTTATGGACAGTTCAATAAGCAGACAGACTACACACTAGTGAACAGGACCAGATAATTTCCGATAGTGATTAATGTTGTGAAGAACGTAAAGTGATGTGGGTGGAGGGCTGATTTGGCCTGAGTGGTCCAGGAGCCTTGCTGAGAAGGTGATTGCTGAGTGGAGGACACCCACTGACAGAGCCACTCTCAATGCTGTTAAGAAAACATTTTAATTTGCAAGGAAAGATGCTCATGGTGGATGTTACATGAAAAAGACAGGACACAAAATGATTTATGTAGTGTGAGTCCAGATTGTTTTTTAAAAAGTATTTAAGTGTTACAATAGATTAGAATAAGATACATTAAAACACGTTGAGGGTGGGAATCCACAGGTGATTTCCTTTTACTTTTTTCAAGTATTCCTGTATTTTCCCAATTTCCTGAAATTCGCATATTCAACCTGTGCAATAATGCCCTGCCAGAGGCAAATCTGGGATTTGGGATCCTGTGGTGAACCAGACAGATGAGGTCTCTGCTCTCCTGGAACAGGTATGATTTTGTAGGTGGGAGAAATGAAACCCAGCTTAAAGGAGTAAAGTTATTTTTTTAAAAGACGAATAAAGTTGCGCTGGTAGGTGTGCCAAGGGGCCAGCTGGAAGCTGGGGGTCCAGTCAGGCGGTTGTGGCAGCAGCTAGGCGGACTAGGTGTGGGGAGGGAGCAGGAGGCCAGGGAACACCTCTCAATACCCACGTGTGCACTCGGGGAAGTCCCTTCCCCTTTCTTGGCCTCGGTTTCCCCATTTGTTACACGAGAGGAGACACTAGATGTGGTTTTTTGTTTGCTTGTTTGATTGTTTTTAGTAGCTCCCTATTCCTCTCCCTCCCAGCTCCTGGCAACCACCATTCTACTTTCGGTCTCTCTGCGTTTGACTACTCTAGGCACCTCATCTAAGTGGAATCATACAGTATTTGTCCTTTAGTGTCTGGCTTGTTTCACTGAGCATAATGCCCTCAAGGTTCATCCATGGTGTAGCATTGTATTGGAATTTCCTTCCTTTTTAAGGCTGAAGAACACTCCACTGTGTGTATAGACATTAGGTGGTTTCTGAGCCTTCTTTAGCTCCGACATTGCAGGATCCTCAACGCCGACTCTGTCCTCCTGTGGGGCTGATTGCTGTCTGGTGGGGTAGGGCCCTGGCTTCAGGCAGACTTTCCCTCCTGCTTGTGGTACCAGGCATCCTTCCCTGAAGCCAGCAGCCCAGGGAGGGCCTTGGGGAGGGCCCTGGGTATGAAAGGCTTTCGCTAAATACCCACCGCCTTCTCTCCGGGGCTTCAGCAGCCAGGTCAGAGCCTGGGGCAGGGCAGGGGTGGGGGAGCTAATGATGGCCTGCCGGGGGCTTTCTTGTCCAGATGAAACAGACCCTGCTCCGAGGCCTGGCCTGATTACAGGGAGCCCTGCGCTTCCCCTCCCGGGGCCCAGGCCTGGCATTGCGGCAGCCTCTGCAGGCCCAGCTGTTCCAGAGCAGCAGCAGAGACAGGCAGGCTGAGGAATCTGGGGTAGCAGTTGCCAAAATGCAGTGGCTTTGAGGTCCGGAAAAGCAGATACAACTCATGGTGAAGCCAGCGGGCTCCCACGTGGTTCTCATCTGATAACTAGTAATAACGGCCACTGGGGCTTCGAGTTTTAGTATGTTCATCATGTGCCGAGCACTGGACGTGAACTGTCTCATTTCATCTCACACGGTCCTAGGAGATTGGTATTGTTACCCCCATGTTACAGAGGAGCAGGCTGAGGCTTGGAGAGCCTAGCCTGGGACCACACAGCTGGCAAGTGGCCCAGCTGGAATTGAGCCCTTCTGTGCCAAAGGCTGATTTCTTATCCACTGGTTCTGTGATTGAGGGGGACTTTCTTTGGTGAGCTTCTTGGTGGAGGGCAGATAAGGAGGCTGAGGGCACAGAGATCTGCCTGCCTTCCCTACATCCACCAGGGCAGCAACTCTTGTAGCTGCTTGGGGGTTCTGCCTCAAAACATTATGTGGAAGCCACTGCTGTGGTTTGCCTCATTTATTTTACAGATGGAGAAACTGAGGCCTTGAGAGGGGCAGGGAGCTGTCCAGGGTCACTCTGACAGGGTCCATGGCAGAGTTGGGATTAGAACCCAGGTCCTGCCTCCCAGTCATGCGCTGTTTCTGGTGCCCATAGGGCCTCCTGGATCCTGTATGTGACCCATACAGGCAGGAGGAAACTCTGGGGCCTCATCTGCTCCGTCTGCTGGGCCCGGCCCCCCACTACAGTGACTGAAGGAGGGAGATGCAGAGGTGGCAGGCAGTGGGTGCAGAGAATAGGACCCAGCCTGGCTCTTGGTTCTGACTCTGCTGCTGACTTGCTGTGTGGCCTGGGCATCTCTATTCTCTCCAGGCCTCAGTTTCCCCATCTGTACAATGAGGGGGTGCTGACAGTTTGGGCCTACAGGCACAGGGCGGGGAGGAGGAGTGGCTAGACGGGACGTAATGCATGAGTGGGGAGGAAGGGAGGAGCTGCAGGGCCCCAAGACACCCTGCCTTTGCCCCACTCTCCTCCGGGAACCACCTGAGTTTCAACCACCCACGCTCCCACTGCTGCCAGGGGACGCCGCTTGGCCTGAGCGTGTCCAAGCATCAGATGACATTGCTCTTGGTCCCCAAGGCTGCCCTGGGGCTGGTGGCTGCCCTTCCTCAGCCCCAAGATATCGCCTCACCCTGGGAACGGTGCTGGCCTCGTGGGGGCTTGGAGGAGGCTGAGCTCCCGGGGTGGCCTCTCACCTGGGCGTCAGCCTCACCCCTCGGCTTGTGCTCACATCCTTACGTGCAAACCCACATGCACACCTCACACAGCAGGGACTCTCATAGGCTGAGAAAGGCCCAAGCCAGTTCTGTTTTTTGAGGCTCCTCGTAAGTTAAAAATGAAGAAATGAAGAAGGGCTGGTCACAATTGTGGTATGTTTTACATGTTTTTATTTAACAAATTAGTATCTTTGGCACACACACACTCGCAAACCCAATGCAATGCAATTGAGAGATTCATAAGCTAATTGCAGGAATTATAAAAGATATGAGTTCACAGTGCTGTGTGATCTGGTGGTGAGAGAGAAATTTAAAATTGTATGATGAGCATCCTGTTCTTTCCATCTTGTACGTGATTCTCTGGGATTAGACATCCAAACCCCTTTTTGTTTGTTTGTTCTCTAACATTTTATTATGAAAAATTTCAAGCACCCAGGAAGGTTGAAAGAATTGTACAGTGAACACTCATATCTTCACCACCTAGAATCTACAACGAACATTGTGCAATATTTGCTTTATTACATATCCATCACTCTTTCCATCCATCCATCACTCCATCCATATCCATTCGTCCATCTATTCATCTCTCTATCCCTCCATCCATCTCATTCTTTGATGCATTTTTGAGGCTTATGAATGTGAGGCCTGGACCAAATGTCACTCCCTTCTTTCCTCCTTCTCCACCACAGTAACAAGCCCTGCTGCATATGCATTCACACACACACACCTATGTGTATGACCTCCATGTGCACACACCACACGTGATTTATCCATGTCCCCCAATTCACACACATCCACTCCATGCACATATCCACATGTGCACACACACACACATGGCGCCCACATGTGCATTCATGGCAGACCCTAGACTTCTGTGAAGGAAGCATCCAGAGACCTTTTAGAATCCACAGACCTGTGACCCTTGTGGAGTCCATGCCAGGTCCTGGCTTACTACCCCCCGCCATTTCTGGCAAATATCAGGTGCTCCCCTGTAGCTCCCCACCCCACGTGTCCCCCCTTTTCCTCCTTCATCATAGTCTTCTCTCTCACCTCCTAGCCACCTCCCACAAAGAAAACCTCCCACAAAGATTCCTTCCGGAGTGTTACCGCTCATGAGTACAAAACCACCAGACTGTCACTCCAGGAGGGCAGGGACTGTGTTGGCCTTGTTCACACCACATCCCCAGCACCTGGCACACAGCAGGCCCTCTATAAGTGTTGGTTGAAAAAAGAACAAAAGCGGCATAGTAGTGCATACACTGGGCAGCCTCAGGGGCAACCCCATCACACACATTTACATCTATACACACATACACTGTGGATGCATCTACGTTCACACGTGCATCACACATGTGTCTGCACATGTGTGAACATGCATTGTGTGCACACACCTGTCTGCCCGTCTCCATACTCTCCAGGTGGAGTCAATTCCAGGACGTGGGTCCTTTCCTGGAGCCTTGGTTGCCTAAGACCACTGTGAGCTCATCTGCTGGACTGTGAGCTCCAGATGTGGCCCCGGGACCATGAGCTCAGGGCTCCTGGCTTGGCCTTGTGCACCTGGGTGGCAGAGGTTAAGAGCACCAGCTGTGGAGTCCAACAAAACCTGGGTTCCATCCTCACTCTGCACATAATCACCGTGCACGTTCCACATATGATCTATGTGCATGTCACCTAACTTCTTGGAGCATCAATTTCTTTACCTGTTAAATGGGGAAGATAGTTTTCACCTTAACAGCATCTTACAGGAGATGCTTCTAGCAGGGTGCCTGGAAAGTTATAAGCACTTAAAAATTGTTGCTGTGGATATTATTATTATTATTTCTTCAGCCTTTGCCCCAAACTCACACGCACACTTTGGGAGGGAGGGCGGCCTTGGTGGGGGGATGTGTATGGGGAGAGCGGGTGGGTGGTGCCTACGTGAACGCCTCTCTCCAGATGCTCCCCTAACCCCCAAGCCCTTATTATCCCACATGCATATTCATAAAGGATAGCCTCAGCCCTCTCTGTAAATGGGTCAGAAGCAGGAAGTGGAGGCCAGTGCAGAGAGCAAGGCCCGGGGGACAGGAGGCTCAAAGCCAGAGTGCATCTGAGTCCCCATGGATGGGAGGATGGTAAGGGATGGGGCCAGAATGGATTGGGGGGTGTTGGTGGGAACTGGGGGCTTGAGCGGGGAATTGTTCCTATATTGCAGATTTGAAAACTGAGGCCCAGTGAGATCAGATTAGAGAGTTAGTGGCCCAGGAAGCAAGAGCCTGCTTCCTTTGGGACCTGGAGAGTTGAGCATCTGTCTAGGCTGGGTGATGGGCACAGGGGGATTGACCAAAGGACCCCTGCATGTTTCCCTCAATGGACGTAGTTTACATGGCATCACACAGTTGGAAGAGCTGCAGTGGTCCTGAATCCCAACCCTCCAGCGAGGCTCAGAGAGGTTGGGGGACTTGCCAAGATCCGGGGGTGCGGGGGCCTGACTGTGATCTTGCCTTTGGAGGCGTGAGAGACAGAGTGATTCTGGCTCATGCCGGAGGTTCAAGACTGGGAGGAAGGTGGGTGGTCTGGCCAGGACACCGAGAAATGAAGCCTCTTCATCTACCTTCTCATTTCATCTCCTCAATATCCCCTGAGACAGCTGTAGCAAAAATGATTATCTCCATTTCATAGATGAGAAGTGTGAGGCTAAAAGAGGCAGAGTCACCAGGACAAGGCCACACTGTGAGTTATCTGCAGAGTGGGTCTGGAAAATTCCAATCTAACACCAGGGGCTGTCTTTTTACACTTGGAGTTCTATTAATCCCTCACTCCTTTCGGATCACTGACTATTTCTTAGAATGCTTTCTCGAGGTGCACAACTGCTCTGTGAGGTTATGCAGGATGACCACCTCCATTTCAGGGGAGGAGATGGAGGCACAGAGGGGTGAAGCGGCCCCCCAGGATGGCAGAGGGTGTGAGAGGCTGCGACAGAACAAGAGTCTCAGGTGTTGCTCGTCTTGTCTTGGGCACTTTCTACTGGACCTGGTCATGGAAAAGGGGGATTGAGGGATGGAAAATTCGGCCCTTGGGGCAGAAGTGTCAAAAGGAGCTGACCCCTGCGGTGAGCAGCTGTGAGACGGGCTCACCTCAGACTGCTGGGTGGCCTTCCAGGCACGGAGGACTGCTGGGTAGAAGGTGACATGTAGGGGCTGTTTTGGGATCAGACTGTCAGTCACAGCAGAATAAGGAAAGTGGGCTTGTGGTAAAGTTCAGACACTTGTTCATTCATCAAACATTTACTGCCTTCGTGTGCCAGGCCCTGTGCTGTGCCCAGGGCAGGGGAGGGAGCGGCCAGAGGTGAACCAGACAGTCCTTGGGCAGCTCAAAGTCTTCCAAGGGTCTCAGACATAGGAAGGACTGAACATATTATTGGACAGAAAAAGAGGATGACTGGGTATTGTCACCTCTGCTTTCCAAGAGGGGCAGTGGGATGTCAGGGACGGGCTTTGGGTTCTGAGATCAAGGCCAGATCAGTGGTCCTCTAGCTCTGCCCTTCTGAGTGTGTGGCCTTGAGCAACAATAACATCAGCCACAATAATCACAGCTCAGTTTATGTCTAGCCTGTCACTTTACTTCTTTGAGCCTCAGTGTCCTCATCTGTAAATTGGGGCAGGGTAGGGAATTAATCTACTTCTCAGGGTTATCATGGGGGCTTTAATAGGGCTATGCAGGTGACAGAGTTTGGTACGTGCTCAAGCTTGGTGGTAACTTGAGTTATTTGTGAGGCTGTAACAGAGGCCCATGTTGAAACACAGAGAAGCAGGAGGATACTCACTCCTAATGGGGCCACATAGTGATCTGGCGGCGGGGGGGGGGGGGGTGGTTCTCTTCACTGAGAAGATACGGCATGTGAGCAAGTCTTCAATGGGTAGAAAAGGGGATAAGGAGAAGAAGGACTTTCCAGGGAGAGGTATCCTGTGGGCAAAATTGTGGAAGAAGGAAACTGTAGGGTACGTTTGTAGAACAGTCCTGGCACTATTAATGGCTAAGCCTGGCCCCATGAATCACTCAAAGATGCAGTCAGGCCGGATCTTTGGCCCTGGGGTCAGCTACAAGGCACCCAGACTTCCTTCCCTAACATTATCCTATCTAGGCTTGAGTGAGGAGAGAGCTAGAGGGTGAACCGAGAGTAATTACAAACCCACTTCTGGGTCTCTCCCACTCACCCCTGCCAGGAATGTGACCCAGCCACCCCTTTTGACCTCCTTAGCTGGGGGCCAGGGTTTGGGCATCCCTAGGGAGCAAAGGGCCACCAAGCAGGGGAGGCTCTGGGGAGCATGTGGCCCAGAGTCAAGTCAGTAGAGCTTGAAGAACAGATGGATGGAAGGGAGGACAGCTAAAAGAGGGCGTGGCTAAGGTCTTAGGAGAAACCTGGACGACAGGGAGCTCACCTTTGTCAAGTATCTATCATGTGTTGTAACGGCCCTATAAGGTAGGTATCCTCACTTTAGAGATGGGGAAACAGCCTCAGAGAGGTGAAGTGACTTGCCCGTTTCTTTATCCAATCATTCATCATTCAACGCCTATGTCTTGGGCAGAGAATCTACGCCAAGCCCTGAGGAGTCACGGGTGGCTATCTCTTGGCTTCTGTCCCCTGAGGTGGGTAACAGTGTTGTGAGGTCGAGCTGTGGCCTCGCCGGACTCGAACCCAGGTCTCACTATTTCCAAACCCTCACTTTAGACCAGGACACGAGCCCAGGCCAGAGTTGGGTCCGGTTGCACGGCTCCCGTGGCCGAGGGAATCCCAGGTCCCCTCCCTTCCCCTAGGGTCCCGCCCGGCGCACCTGCCCCAGGTGAGTCCCGGGAGGCCCCGAGCGCCGC